TAAATAAAATTAAAATAAACTTCAAATAACCTTAAGAAATTTTAGAAAGGTAAATTAAGAAGCATAAACAAACAGGCAAACTCAAGAACCTTCAAATTCAAAGTAATCAAAATAAAAATTAAGCATAACCAACTCAAGTTTTTAGCTTAAGTGAAACTCTCAAATCAAACTCATCCAAACCAAATAAATCCAAGTCAAACTACTAACTCAAATCAATCTAAATCAAACTCTTTCAAACCAAATTAATCCAAAATCAACCCCTTCATAGTAAATTCACATTTTCAACTCTGAGGGTATGCTCTGTTCATGGAGTTAGCTAACCCTTTTTATGGACCTCTTCACAACACATCGTCAATAGAATGTAAGTCCCAACCTCTCAATTTCATGCAAATCTTATTAAATCTTGAGTCTATCAATTATGAAGTCCTTAATACCAATCATCTAGAAACTTACTTAAAAATCATGCATGATATAAACCAATAATTTAATCGAGAGTTTTATCGAGCGCCACAACTCACGAGATGGAATTAACTGTGAGTCCTTTCACTCACAGAGATACCATTTCCAAATATAAAATAAACTTTATCTTACTCCCGTAAGGTAGGGGAAAACCCCTTGGTTCTGCACTCTCATAAATCTAAAAAAAAAAAATTTCATCCGAGTAATTATATACATATTCATCTAATATCTCTATCATTTGGCATGGTATATTATTTTTCACAAAAATTATATTTTGTATTCAAGTATATTTTTGTTCAAAATCAACCCCTTCATAATAAATTCACATTTTCAACTCCGAGGGTAGTTAGCTAACCCTTTTTATGGACCTTTTCACAGCACATCGTCAATAGAATGTAAGTCCTAACCTCTCAATTTCATGCAAATCTTATTAAATCTTGAGTCTATCAATTATGAAGTCCTTAATACCAATCATCTAGAAACTTACTTAAAAATCATGCATGATATAAACCAATAATTTAATCGAGAGTTTTATCGAGCGCCGCAACTCCTGAGATGGATCACTCATAGAGATACCATATCTAAATATAAAATAAACTTTATCTTACCCCCGTAAGGTAGGGGAAAACCCCTTGGTTGTGCAGTCTCATAAATCTTAAAAAAAAAATTTCATCCAAGTAATTATATACATATTCATGTAATATTTCTATCCTTTGGCATGGTATATTCTTTTTCAAATTACACATCCAATCATTTAGAAAAAAATATTTTGAGATTTATGATGGTATCCAACTCATCACAAAAAAAATCTTCACTAGGACCAATCCTTTTTCTTTGCAGCCCTTACATTCCCTCAGTACATTGAACCTAACTAGTTCATGAAAGAAGAAGAAGGGTAGAAGGATGACAAAGAATTATTCGAATATATAAAAATTCATGTCCTCTTTAATTTTTTTGTATTTTTTTGGTTGTTATAGTTTTGAATATTCATTTAGTAAAATTTGAGTTTGGGTGTGGGTGTTTCCATTGTTTTTCATGTGTTGTTATTATTTCTACCTTCTCCTGTAATGCATGCATTGTATGCATGTACATTGTTAGGACACTAGGTTATGTTATTTTAACAAAAATTATATTTTGTATTCAAGTATATTTTTGTTGTGACCTAACTTGATTAGTTGAGCAATTAGCATAAATATTAAATTTTAATGTTAATTTAAATAATAATGAATAAATTTAATTTTCAAGAACTATTAAAACAAACTACTTACCTTAAAAATAAAAAAAATTGTTATATTAAAATTAATAATCCTAATGGTATAGTATATATTTTAAAATGTGTGATTTACATAATTTATTTGAATCAAATCTAGTTAATTAGGAGGTTATAAATTTGGTAATAATATCATTAATATAACATAACGTTGATGAGTATTAACTAAGCTACACCACTAAACAGAATAATCTAATATGCACTTTTATTTACTTAAGAAGTAGAATAGAAGGTATAAAAAATTATTAAAAGCATTTGACTAATAAATTGAATTCAAAGTCATATTAAAATTATGAGATGGAAAAAATTGAATTCAAAGTCATATTAAGTTTAAATTAAACATTAGTGACATATTTTAGTTGTTAAAGCCATTTTAAGTTTAAGCTAATTGGGGTATATTTCTTGAAGATCTTATTTATGGATGTAAACATGCAAAATATTAAATTTTAAACTGACTGATTAATGTTTGGCCACTTAAGTCAATTATAAGCACTACATGTACTACATGAATATAACCTAATGGATATTAGTGGATAATAAGAGTTTAAGATTTTATTATCTAAGTATTATTGTTGGTTAATAACTAGATATTTGTAAACTACAATATTTTCTTATTTGTAAACTACAATATTTTCTTATTTGTAAACTACAATATTTTCTTATTTGTAAACTACAATATTTTCTTATTTGTAAACTACAATATTTTCTTATTTGTAAACTAACAATATTTTCTTATTAGTTAATGGTATAGTTTTAGGTATTTATTTAGTAAAATTTGAGTTTGGGTGTTTCCATTGTTTTTTATATGTTGTTATTATTTATGCATTTTTCTTTCAATGCATGTGTTGTATGCATGTACAATGTTAATAACTTGGGTTATGCTATTTTAATAAACTTTATATTTTGTAAACAAGTACATTTTATTGTGACCTAACTTGATTAACTTAGTAATTATCATAAATATTATATTTTAATGTTAATTTAAATCAAAATTAATAAATTTAATTATCAATAAACTATTTATTAAATATAAATAAATTAGATTCATAATAATAAAAATGTTATAGTGAAATTAATAATCTTAATGGTGTAGTAAATTTAAAATGCATGATTCACATAATGTGATGGAAATATATCTTGTTAATTAGGAGGTTATAAAATTGGTAAGAATATCATAAATATAACATAATGTAGATGTATTAACTAAACTATACCACTAAAGATGATAATTTAATATGCACTTTTGGTTATTTAAATGGAGAATAGAAGGTACAAAATATATTAATAGCATTTAACTATTAAAATGAGACTCTATAAAAATTATGAGATAGAAAAATATTAAATTCCAAGTCTTATTATGATTAAATTATACATTAATGGCATATATACTAAAAATGTAGTAGTCAAATTCATATTAAGTTTAAGTTAACAGGGGTATATTAAGAAAAGAAAAATCTTACTTATGGAAATAAACATGACAATTATTTATTTTTATACTAGCTGATTAATAAGTATTCATTTAAGTCAATTATAGGCACTAAAAGAATAAAATGAACAACCTAAAGCATATTAGTGGACAATAAGAGTTTAAGATATTATTATCTAAATAATTATTCTTAGTTAATAACATAAATATGTATGAAAATAATTGTCATGTTATTAACTTTGGTTATTTAAATTTTAAATAAACATAAATATGTATGAAAATATTTAGATGTTAAGTACTTGTACTTTGGTTATGTGGATCTCCTTAATTTTCTGCATAACATGAAGAGTTTGAGCTAAATTTTAAAGCATTATTCATTTTTCTTTAATTTAATTGAGTAATTATATTGGTCATAGTGTGATTTCAAATTTAAGGTGATCTATGAACCTCGATGAAGGCAAAGAAGAACAATAAGATAATTTGGACTAGATTTTAAGTGTATTAGACAAAACTCCATTTGAAATTCTATCATTTAAGAAATGTGTGAATAAATTCATTTAACTTAATTCCATAGAAATAGAGTGAATTAGATTTTAAAAGCTCTCGACAACAAATAAAATTTGTTCTTGATTGTCATTAGAACTTAGTTGTAGCTCATGTGATGCGAAAAATTAGTGAGATAAAGTGCAAATTTAACGTAAACCTCACCACTTGTTAAATCATGATGTTTGAAGGAATTAGAATATGCTTAATATGAGAATTTCATTTATTGAATAAAAATTATGGTAAATTTGAATTAGTAATTAAATTGTTTTTGTAAATACCTTATTATCCTTGAAGAAAAGAAATCATACTCATTTGTGTATCACATGAAATGACACATACATTTATATACTCGGTCAATTAAGAATATAATGTTATATTCTAATGAAATAATATAAGTTAAAAAAATATCTTCAACCATAAGTTAAAGTTATCAAAATATATGACATTTAAAAATAATCAACATTCTACATGGCGAATAATTGATGCATAAACCATAATGTTTGTCATTCACCCATAATTCAAGTATGAAAATTACTAACAAGTAATTCTTAATATTTAGCATTCCCCAACATCCAATATCTATTAAAACTAATGATTGATGTTCATTAACCACCAATTTCTTAATTCCCTTCATCATCAGATGCCCAAGATAGAAATATATGACATTTAAAAATAATCAACCACCGTTTTTCTTAATTCCCTTCATCATCAGATGCCCAAGATACAACATCCTTTACCCTTTAATACTCACGACCACGTAGCATCTGAGTCTTGTCATTTGATATTTGATAATCATTTTCTAACATACTCAATCCTATTTAACATTTAATGTTCAATCTCCTATATCATATGAAATGATGCCCACTATTTGACATCCACTACCTAACATCGAACACAATGATGCCCACTATCTGACATCCACTACCTAACATCGAACACCATCATCATATGAAATTATCCAACATCTAGTTATTGTCTTCATTGGGCTTCCTTTGTTGAGCATTGCTTGGTCAATTAATCCAACCATTTATTTTCATAAAGAAGGCAACATCTAAATTTCAATTGCCAAGAAATAAGTATTCCCTTCTTTAATTCACATATATACATTTGTCTAAATAATAAATTTGATTCTAATGTGATTAATTTAAATTCAACACAAATTTGCTTTTTAGTACAATTAGAATATTACAATTGGAGTTAAGTTCTCCGGTCTAAAAAAATTAAATTATTTAGAAGGACAAGTCAACCACGCATCGCCGCGTTATTGGGCAGCACTTGCTATAAAAGGGAATAACCAGAGGGTTTTCTTCATTCAAATTCAGAACCATAATCTCAAGCAAGGGAGAGATTGAGAAGAAGAGTCAGAGGCAGAGATGGTTCTCAAGGTATTCGGAAGCCCTGTTTCGACCTGCACGGGACGCGTGCTTGCTTGCATGGAAGAGCTCGGCTTAAAATACGAGCTCGTACCCGTCGACTTGAGCACCGGCGAGCACAAGAGGCCTCCTCATATTGACAGAAACGTATCCATTTTCCTCTTTCCTTCCCGCTATTAATTTGTTTAATCCATCTTTGTTTTGTATTTAATCCAAACTTTTGATACTCTTACGCCTGTACTTATCTAATTTTTGTTATGCGTGCAGCCCTTTGGCCAGATTCCTGCACTCCAGGACGGCGATCTTGTTCTATTCGGTGAGGGATTTTTCTGTTCGTATTAGTTTAAGTTTATTGCATAGATTAATTAATTTCACTTCACCTTCTGGGGATTTGTAGTACTAAATTTTATATAATCTTCCAACTAGAAAAATTTATTATTCGATCCAGGGTACACCTAGTATGTTTCGATAAATTTAAGCAGAAAATGCTTTTCTGATTGGTAGAACAATTAACAAAAATATGGGCCATAGTTTATCATGTGGAAAATAGAAATTGATTTCTGGTAGATGAAACAATAAAAAGCAAATCAAGGTGATATTTACAGATTATTGCGATCTTGGAGCTATTTTTGATGATTCTCCTACGGCACGCGAAGATATGAGAATTGATGGCTTGTTGTCTATATCTTTGAATAGTTACTTAGATTATTGGTTTCGAGATTTTGGATTATAATAAAACACGGGTGAAGTTTTGGTTCCTTTGTTGGAATACGTACTAAATGGTCTTTTCTCTAACGCAGCTTTTGAAATAAACGTATGGAACCGTTTACTGCTGGTTGCTCTTGTCTATTCTTCCTTACTGTAAAATATTTTGCGTGAACAAATTTATATTAGATAATTGATTATATAGATTTTACTTTCGCTCTCAGGGTTGCCTAGTAGGTTTTTGGTTTTCAATTTTCCATGTCATCAAAAATTTTGGATTGACTCTTGATTCCTTGCTATGAGCACTTAAGAACTTGCCTGAAATTCCTATTTTATTTTTTGCATTTTTAAGTATTTGTTTGTTGGTAGACCTTTGTTAATGTCGAATCATGCTAAAATTTGAATGGGTTATAGATTCCATCTATGTGCGCCTTAGGACTGTTCTATGAAGCAAGATCCATTCAAAATAATGAATTGAAGAAATATTCAACTACTAAATCATTAGTTATATATGGTTTCAGAAGGAGACTTCACTATTGACTTGATACTGTATTATGTGGCTAATGCGTATAAAATACTATATTGTGATTGCAGAATCTCGAGTTATCACTCGGTACTTGGTACGAAAATATGGCAAGGCAACTGATCTCCTTAAAGAAAACAGCTTCATTGATTCAGTAGCCGTGGATCAGTGGATGGAGGCGGAATCTCAGCACTTCAATGGACCTGTCTCAGCCCTAGTCTTCCAGCATCTCTTTCTTCCAATCTTCTTTGGAGGCAAGACTGATGAGAAGGTGGTGGCAGCAGAGGTGGAGAAGCTGGGCAAGGTGCTTGCTGTCTATGAGGCCAAGCTTTCAAAGACACAGTTTCTTGCAGGTGACTTTTACAGCCTCGCTGACCTCCATCACCTTTCCTATGGGCACTACCTGATCACCAGCACGCCACATGGCTCCCTCATCAATTCTTATCCTCATGTGAAGGCCTGGTGGGATGCCATCTCTTCCCGTCCAGCCAGCAAGAAGGTCTTAGGGCAAATGTCATTCACCCGCTGAGCTCCGGGAGAGCATTTTGGTGTCATGGTGTTCAGTGTCAAATGAATAAGACCGCCTTTGTGTTAGCTATAGATGGCGGTTCACTGCTGCTGCTAGCTGTGGCTGGCACCATGCGTCCTTTTAGTATTCTCTTAGAACTGTGTTGTTTGTTTTACTCATGCTGGAGTCTTATTGAAAAGCTTGTTGGAGTCTTATTAAACAGAGTTGTTCTACTTCGAGTGATTTGGTTTAAATAAAGTTGGAGTTTTTCTGCAGTTGGTTTGAAGTTTGAACTATTTCATTAATTCTTCCTTGTGTTATTAAGAAGATGTTTAACCGCTGCTGGTTTTGTGAATTCATTCATTTATCCAACTGAGAGTAATTCATTTAGACAGGCTGATATATAGATTATTTAAAATAAGATGCTTCCTTATTCAAGTTGCTTCCATATGTGTAGTTTGTTTATAATGTCTTCCAATATTAGAGGGCATGGGAGTATTATCATTATGTCACGAAAGAAATTTATATGAATATGCATGAATCTCATTGCATTTTGGATAAAATATCCATCTAATGCAAATCCAAGTACATCTAAGCTCTGATTTCAACAAATTTATATTTAAATTAAGCATCTCGAAAATACAAGCCTAGTGACTCCTAAAGTGATCCAATTCAAGTTCAAATAAGCCCGTATCAAACACTTGTATTTTGGTTGAAGGTGTTCGTGCATTGATGGTAAAGCTAGTCGATCCCAAAATTTAGCATGTTTATAGTCAAATCAAGTGACTCGATGAGAGAAATCCAATAAACCCAAGATTATCTAGTTCTGAGGTTTTTAAGGTATTTAAATGTTGAAAAAATGGCGTAATTATGGGAATTATTGTGGATGGTTTGATGGAATATTTCGATATTTTGTTAAAATTTATCTAAACGTCTCTCACAAAAATTTAAAATAGGCCCCTATTTCAGATGGATTAATGAATGAAGATTATAATGGTGTCGTAATATATAATGGGATGGTTGTGTTGCTAGTTCAATAGAACTTGCTACTAATGAGATGAAAGATTTGTGTATTGTTAGGGGCGAGGATCCTCATCTATGAAAGGAAAACCTGTCAGTAAGCATTAGGTTGTTCAAAAAAAAAAAAAGTGAAGAGAAAATATTTCATCCAAGACTTGATTCACTTTAGACCGTGTTGTTCCACCCACATCACAGAACAAGAAAGCATTCGTTGACTCCATCTCTCCAGATAGAGGATCATCTCCATCGACTCATTGCATTTCAACTACAAGAGGAATATTTTTAACAGTCGGCTGGATCCAAACTTCAAAGGAAGGATGACGGGTTGATTATTAAGACCCTCTACTCCTCACCAGCCTCAAGTAAAGCCATCTTCAATGCATCCCGAATTGAATTAGACAACACTTACTCCCTCACCTCATCAATCGGTATTGGCTTTTTGGCCAATCTTTTCCTTGACTAATCGCCTTCAAGTCAATACGATCTGATCCTGAGAGTGGCTAGCATCCCAGCCTTATTGACGGATTTTAGCACGAAGTCAGATCCCTTCTCCGTAACTACATTGCCAACACCAAACAAAGGCCCATAGAAGGAAAAAAAAATCAAGATGATGAAGCTAACCCCCCATAGAGCCTTATATATAATCTTGGGCAAAAAAATCCATGGAGTTTATTGATGGTAAATAAATATTATTTTAAGGTTTGTATATCTTAAAATTTCCTTATTTTTGTAGCGAATGTCACTATCAAAAAGCAAGAAAAATACGAAATTTATGTACACCCAAAAATGATCTGCACGGATTTCAAACAGCTTGACAGATGAAATCAAAAGATGAAATTTATGCCTAAGGAACACAGGACCGATTGGATGGCATCAAGTCAACCGACCAAGGACAATCTTGGCCAACCAACGACAAACAAGCATTTGTGACGAAAGAAGTGAAGGCCTATGATCCTTCAACCAATTAATCGATGTCCATCCTCCCAGTCGGTCGACCATCCCTGATTGGGCATTAGTGAAGATTGATCAACCAGTTATGGCTAACCACATTCCAAGTTTTGATCGGTCATCTCAGATGTTGCTTTAATATGTAAATAAAAAAAGTATTAGCAAAAATTGCAAAGACAACTCACGGAGAGTGGAAGAAGTGATGTCGCCCTGTGGGGCCTACCAAGGATGACCCTAAAATCACAAGATTAGTCGGCTGACCCAAGCAGACGGAGCACTTCAAAAGAATAAAGAGTAGTTCATCCATGAAGAATTCAATGGACCAGATCCATTCAGATGAACTTTTCGCCTTCCAATCCATATGGACTAAGAAGGTAAAATGGGTCTTCCAGTTCCATAGCAGTTGACATAGATCCCCAACAAGCAGTCACCCAACCTGACAGCCTCCCGACCTAATAGCCACTCGGGTTAACAGTCGTTGGGCCTAATAGTCGCTCGGTTTAACTGCCGTTCGACTGTACCTATGGCCTCTCATATCTAATTATAGATTGAAATACCCCCGCCATACCTTAATACTTTAGGGGTATAACACGTAATTGTACCTTGACCCATTTCTATCAATAGGGGATCCATTTCATGAATAGAGAACAAAAATTTACTGTTTATTACTTTGCTATTGTTCCCTTTTTCTCCCTCTCTCTTCTTTTAGCGTTCTATTCCTTAGTCGTGTCTTCTAGACAGTTTTGAATTCAACATCACGAAGCAACAAATAAAAACTTAAACAAATCTTGGCCGGCCCATTATCTTCAAGTTATAAGAATTTGTAACATCTAATTTACTGTATAGTGATCTTGAAGATTAATCGACCAAGCAATAATAATTTCAATATAATTTTTGCAAAGTTATACCTCAAAAAAAAAATATTATAATTATCTCGAATGATAAAATCAACGTTATATGCATTTAAAGTTCGAATTTGAGGCCTGCAAAGCTAATTAAGCTAATGTCATCATCAATCCATTGAATTCATGATACCACATATATAATAAGTTAAGCACAAAAAAGATTTCAGTCCAAGCTTTCGAGTTGCATTATGTTTAACTTTATGGTTGGCGGGGGTTATGTTTCGTCCTTTGACAGTACTAATTCAAACAAATTGCATTGACTAAACCGAAAAAAAATTTTGCTTAAAAGAAATACAAAATGACTTATATATCCAGAGGAGCCAAAATAAGGAAGGAAAGCTTCCAAGTCTGCAAGAATAAACGACTAGAAAAAAGCAGCCAAAAGTATCCAAAAAGGTAAAAAGAAAGAAAAAACAAAGAATCAAAAGATTGACCAAAAACTGTTTCCTATTTATGAATTGCGTTATCTTTAAGGCATCTGTAAGGGATCAAGACCACCTAATGAGAAATAACAAAACTAACTTATGTTCTGTGATAAGAAATAACAAAGCCATCTGAAGAGCATCAAGACCACCTAATGAGATTCATAAAAACTAAAATCCCAGGGAGAAACTGTTGCTAAAATTCAAGACCTTAGAAAAATAGAGTAGAAAGATAGTACTGTGATAACCAACCAAATAAAACACTCCATAAATCCAAACTATGTAGCATTTGAGGGGAGAATATATGCATTTCTTAGAATCTTCTTTGGATATTTTTCTTCTTGTTTTCTATTTTTACTTTTAAGAATATCTATTTTTCCAGTGTTTTTTCATGTTTTTTGTTTCTTAAATTTTTATTATCGAATGAAGTAATTTTTAAAATTATTCGAAATAACTCTTATACCTTTTGAGTTGTTTTAAAAAATCTATATGTTTAATACTTTTGAGATGTGAGGTTCCGTATAATTCGTGAACTCTTACATCCTGGATAAGATTTTGGAGAAGAAGAGAGAAGCTGAGGGAATTTTAAAGAACTTTTTTTAGGGTCTAGGATTGAGAAAGGGCGGAGATGTCCCCACATTTCCTTTTCTCTTCTTCTTATTACCTGGGCATGTGTCTATAAAACAAACATAAAATAAAATTATAGGCTATATAGTACGAAGTTGGAGCAAACTAGTTGTCAATAAGTCTACTAGTATGAATGATTATGCAATTAATAAATTATGGTATGTACGCTGACAGATGATAATTTTCTTCCTCCAGTTGTAGATAGTTGCTTGTGTTGGATATGGAGTCTGTTTCGACTCTCCGCCCGTCGTGCCTCACACGGAGCTGCGTCCCGCCCTATTCTTCACGTCGCTCCTCAAGCCGCACCCCTCTCTGCGTTGCACGCGGAACCGTGGGAAGCTTCCCGCCTCTCTGGTATCCGAAACATGTCGTGCCTCATGCGGAGCCGCGTCCCGCCCTATTCTTCGCGTCGCTCCTCAAGCCGCACCCCTCTCCGCGTCGCACGCGGAATCGTGGGAAGCTTCCCGCCTCTCTGGTATCCGAAACAAGCCCTCTTCGCTTATTATAAATAGGAAGAAATTATGTCTGCTAGAATCATCCCAAAAACCACCTCTTTTCTGTAACAATTAAGTTCTTTGGTTTTTCTTCTTTCATCTAGAAGTAGAGAGAGAAGGAGAGAAAGGAGGAGAGAAGAGGTAGAGAGAGAGAAAGAGAAATAAAGATTTCTTGTAAATGTCGAAATGCTCGACGGTAAAATTTCTCGAAGTAATAAAATCCTCTACAACTCCGTGGACGTAGACAATTTGCCAAACCACATAAATTTGTGTGTTCCGCTGTGTTTTTCTGTTTTGCATTTTTTCTCGATCTGATTTTTTTTTATCGTCGTCATTTTTCAATAACAATTGGTATCAGAGCTTTGGTTTCGGATCTAAGGAAGAACGATGATCGGAGATGAAGTGAAGGTTTCGGGGATCGAGAAGTTTGGCGGGCCTAGATTTTGGCTACAAGAGGATGCAGACAGATGACTACCTCTATGGGAAGAAACTTCATCTTGCGTTATAGGGGAAGCGATCGGAGAAGATAAAATTGGCTAATTGGAATCTGTTGGATCGACAGGTTAGGGAAGCGATCGGAGAAAATTAAATTGGCTAATTGGAATCTGTTGGATCGACAGGTTCTGGGGGTTATATGGGAGTTATTTGATTAACCATATCGAGATCAGTTTCCCACAACGTCATAAAGGAGAGGACGACAACAAATCATATCGAGATCTGTTTCCCACAACGTCATAAAGGAGAGGATGACAACAAATCTTATAGCGAAACTATCAGGTATATATGAAAAGCTATCGACGAATAACAGGTGCACTTGATGAAAAAGTTATTCAACCTGAAGATGGCGGAATGTGTGTTCA